TCTTATGTACATGTATTTGGCGTCAAACTCTGCCAAGATTCCTGACAGTACGACATTAAGTTTATGCACGATTAGTGCTTTTGCGCACTTACCATGTTCATTGAGATCGATTACTCGACTCGAATTTTTCGTCGTCGATTAAACGGCCGGAGGACTTTTACTCCTTTTACGGGGCTCCAAGGTCCATTCTTATTAACCCTGCGGGGATGTGCTGTGTTTTTACGACGTGGTTGGAATTTTAATTCAGCGTCGCGACTAAAACCTGATAATACACCGCGAATAACCAGAAATCGATAATTCCATCGTAATTTTTATCCCCTGTGGGAATATTTCCTGGCAAACTTGTGCGAGCATCTCTCGTGTCCTGATATCTCGATTATCCCATCCCATAATGTATGAGCCAATTTCCTGATTGAAGCCTCACGTTTACTCACGTGGTACGAGATCAAGCTCGTCCACGCCTATTAATGTTCGGTGGTTTAGTGCAAATACCGTGTTCATTGAGATCGATCGTTCGATTCGAACTTTTCGCCGCCGATTACCCATCCCGAATTTTCATGCTTTTTAGAGGACTCCTGAGCCCATTGTTATTAATCCTGCGCTTTTATAATGCGCTTAAATTTATAACCATGACTAGGACTCCCTTGGGATTTCCACTCGCCTCGGGAATATCTTCTGGTCTTATATGAGTATTTATTTATATCTCCATGGTCCAGTCGTATCATACATGAGCCGATCTGCTCATCGCAGCCACTTTCATTCATCTGGCACAAGGCTGAGCTCGCAAACGTTTATTATGGCTCACCGTTTGCACGGCTCATTGAAATCAATCAGTCGACGGGAATTTTTCGCTACTAATTAACGATCAAAAGACCTACGAGCCTACATTTCTTTAAACTTTAGAGCCCAACATAATCTAACAGTAGACACTGCCCTTTTGCTCTTTTTAAACGCAACTGAAGAACGGAATTTAACAATGCCACTTCCTCTATCAGTTTAAGCGATAACGTGCCATTGAGAGTTTGTAATTCGATGCACGGCATGGCTAGAGCATAAACTGCTTATAATCGTAGATAACAAGGTTGCTACCGTTATCAGCCGCGGTTCTGCAAAATAAAGTCGGCCTGTAATGCGACGCAAAAAGTCGTGAAAATATACGGACTCTCTAAGTACCTCCGGTATTTATTATTTCCGCCAGGGGGTGTTATGTTTCCTGTGTTCCAATGTATGCCGTATGTCAGTCAATGTAAGTCGATATCGTCGGCCGATTCGGCAATGGGATAAAATGTCACGAAGGAGTTGGCGAGGGCGTAGTCGGTATATCTCTTCCAGGAGTTAAATCTGGAGCAAGAGAGAGGCGGTGAGAAAAAACGCGGCAGGGCCTTATCTAGCGCGGCGACAAATCGTGCAACGCACGTTTCCATTGTCTCCGTGGATTAGTGTCGTGTTCGTTGAAAATAGATAGCTTCGCACCTAGAGCCCGACAAGATCGCGCCTGGTCGTCCCGAGTTCCTGGTGGGCGACGAAAACGGATTGCGACCAGCGGCGCTTTATCAGCCGAGAGGCGATCCCTCGAAGCCGCGGAATAATCGCTCCTGATTGTACCTACGGATTAACGAGTCTCGGTTGCATTTCCTTTTCTAGGTAGAGATAGTCTCGGTCGAACTGGGCCGCTGTCGCGTCGAGTTCCCTCGAACGCTGAGCGGAGATATAAATTTGAAAAAAGTCAGGTAAAATCGCGAAAAGAGAATCCTGCAAGGGCTCGGTCCGTCCTGTATGCGCGGAAATAACAGACCTCTCGGGAATTTTTCGCGAAATTCCGAGGGAGATTCGGAGAATTTTGAATGGCGACTTGTACAGGGAATTCTATTAGAGCTCTCGGTAGAGAAATTCGGATTCCAAATGCAGGGAGGAAATTCGAGAAAATACTACGCGGGAATTTTCCTCGACAAGAGGCCGAGAGATGATGGAATGGAAACGAGTTGCCTGTCCGGTCATTTGAAGTTTTAACACCTCTAGTCCTGTCTCTTTTTATATGGGTATATTTTTATGCTTTAATCCATATTCCGCGTGGACGAGTACTGCCGCGTTTTACAGTTGAATATTGATTTTACGATTATTTCCTATCATTCGAACACTGTGTCGATGCGGTATTTTAACGATACCTATGTCGAAGCGGTTTTAATTAAAAAAAAAAATGAAAAAAAAAAAATGAATTCGCCGTGGCGATGGGAAGGCATTATCGCGATTGCGGCTTTGGCGGAATGACGGTGCGGGGATGTTCGGTCATTCGTTAATAAATTGCTCACGTATCAGGAAGTATGTATTGGGGTTATGCGAGCTCGCGGCGATGGTAAATTGATAACCCGAAACGTTTGTGTTTTTGGCGCTACTCCTTTTCCATTTTAGCACGGCTATTTTGGCAAAGGATGTTTTGGCTCATCGCAGGGTCGGCGGGATCGTTCACCCTTTACTTATGTATCTTCGTTTCCGTTTGGTTGACCCATCCAAATTTAACCTATCTAGTTCATAGGCCGTGTTAATAATGAATTACCGCCCCAATTTGGCCTCCGCTATTCAGGACGATTTAAAAAGGATTTTAACTCGAACTGAGAATCCGGATTTGAGGATCCAAAGTTATTTTAAACCTCTGAAAAAAGACCCAAATCAGTTTACAACTCTAAATGTAATAACGTCAATTTTTTTTTTTTAATTATTTCCACGACCTTCGATAATCGTTATCCAATGTTCAAGGCAAACGTGACATATATTTTTAACGAGCCACGATAGTAATTCGAAAAAGTCATTTTACCTGACAGATTGTCTAGATAAACGTTCAAGTTCAAAAGAACAACCGGCCATTAAGCGTAATTGCCATAATCGGGCACGTAGATTCCTATTGTTTTGTGCGTGATCATTTCTCACGGCTGTTGAACATTCATAATCGGCTTTCATGAATTCTGGCGTAACACTGTTAAATACCGTGCCTACATTTCTTCGCGCTTCGCAGATTCCATTCAATGGAACGCGGGCAATTGTCGGGGAAATTGGGAGGAAATTCATTCAAGTGCCGGTATAAGTAACTAACCGGCAAAAGTGAATGAAAAAAAAAAAAAGGAAAAAAATCGTTGAGCACCAATTAAAAAAATCCTTGCATTCTCGGCATCGCTCTAACAAGACGGTATGTATTGTACGCCACGTTAGTCATTCTATTAAATAATCAGACGTTGACAAATTGAAGTAAGAGTCTTGGAAGCGTGAATTCATCGGGAACATTCAGAAAGGTTAAAAGTAGCGTGCGAGGGATTTGAAATTTCATTGGCATGAATCATACGCTCTCTGTATCTCCTCGTTACCTGATTGTCAACAGTGTGAGTTATCTGTGTCGTGCAGATCGAATAATTCCACTCAAGGCACATGAGCAACCGATTCGCATATTCATGCAAACGATTCCCTATTCATCATTTTTTGCCCCAATTCGCGGTTGACCGACTCGTTAAACAATATATTTCTGGTATATTTTCAACCGCCGTTGTGACTAGCTTAATCTGTAATTTGTATTAATAATAAATGCGGACTGTCCAATATTTCAAAAACAGACTTCGCGTGATAACGAACTAGTTCAATGCTATTGTGAAATATATATCCGAACAGATAGGAATACAAATTTTGCCGTTTTCTGCGCAAGGTTTCATTTTTGAGTCCACGTTAGTTCAGCTGTGCGTGACTGGAATTCAGGAACGCGTTTTCTCAGCTCTTGAAACACGATGACAAATTAGAATGTATTAGCATACTATATGGAAACGCTCATCGGCGCGCTATTGATAACGAGTCATGTATGCCACGAAGTTGGAGTTCATTTCCAGCCACGGTGTCAGGTACTAATTCCCACGCGTACAGGCGACAAGTGACATTTCCCCATCCCGGCAATTTTCTATTTTTCCTCCAATGTTCAATTCACTCGAACATCCTGTAATAACGACACCCGAGTCCTGTAATCGTTGATATATGCAATTAAGTGTAAATACGAGGCGATCAGAAATGAAATTTATTGGTTCGTCCAACAGTTCGCCGTGTTCGGATGCTTTGTTGACCCTCGGAGGGGGGGAGCACAAATACAGGATAACAATGGTGGTATATTCCGTAGAATGTGAGAAAATTGGGGTCGCTAAACGATCCCTGCTCTCCCCTGTTCAATTTTACGCGCGATTCTTTCTGATGGGACCCAAAGTCGGATAGGCACGCCCCAGTCAAGTAATTACCCGATCAAATATTAAATCAGTCGAGCCAAGTGGAGGTCGCTTTGATCGAGCATCCAGTCAGTTTGCAGAGATGCCAAATGTTTGCGCTAAGCGAAATTCAATTAATTCGTACCCCTGCCGGGTTTTCGTCATCGGGTCGTTTCCACTCGCTGGGGAAAATCATTTAAAGAAACTCCGTTCACGCCGGTTAATTTTCTCTCTGTATTTTTCCTGACACCAAAAACTTTGGCACGTCGAGGTGCACGAGGACGAATTCCACTTAACAGGTACGAACTAAGCGAATTCCGCTGAAATTCCCTTTGCGCATGCCGCTCAAAATCCGCTCTTCGAATCGTTCCACTTGGGCTCATGAAAACGTGATTAAAAGGTATCGCTTGTATGAAGGGAAAATCACGGAAAAGTGTTAAATCAATTTCAGAAGTTCCCCGCGGTTTTCCCGTGTACTCCCCTCCGAGTCCGCGTTAAGTGACTCCGGTTAGTGAGTCGATGCCGGGGAACACTTATTAAAATTTCATCGCTTAGCCGGGTTGGTCAAATTGTTGGGGATTAAGAGATACGGAATACGGGATTATTTCTTTTTTTTTTTTGTATTCCCGCGAATCCCGGCAAAACGCCAACGGCATAGGTGAAAGAAATCCCGGTCTCTCGTTTCGCACTAGGCGGTGCGTAATTTTACACGCAGGATGCACATGTATATACCCTCGCATCTCATTCGAGGCTGTCAACAAGGCGAATTACCTGCGGCGCACAAAACCAAGATGCAATTTTTCCACATGGTTCCTCTTATCCCCCTTGGGGACGAGCGGGTCTAGCCGAGACCGTTCGAGCGATTCGCGCCAATCTTCGCGGCCGTCATCGCACTCTTCCGGGCCGGGGAGAATCCTCGAGGCTTCGGTCACATCGCGGTTGATCCTTTGTTAACGATAATTTGTTTCTATTTTCTTTTTTTTTTCAAATCGCTTTTCAACTTTCCGAAATCTTTCTTCAAGTGGAAATCTCGAATAGGGCGCGACACTTCGAGGTTACAGGACCCTGTTGCGGGGATTGCGTTCCCGACTTTTCTCCCTTCGATGTCGAGGGAGAAAAAGGAGAGGGAGAGAGAACTAAGGACACCGTGCGGAGAACGTTCCTCGGTGGAGGTCCGCCAGAGACTGATGCTGCCTCCACGCCGCTCGCTGCAGCTCGACTCGCGATCCCGGCTCCGCGCCTTCCCCTGTGGCCTGCTCGACTCAGTCGAGATATATCCTACCTTAGGACTTTTCGGGGAGGACTAGGACTAGTCATCTCGGCTGGATTAGCGCAAAATTTCTGATGTGATGCTAGTCCATGTTCTTATAGAAAAAACAGTGGAGTATACGCAACCATTGGATAATTTTTCTTTTTTATTTAAGGACCATTCGAGATATATCCTACCTTAGGACTTTTCGGGGAGGACTAGGACTAGTCATCTCGGCTGGATTAATGCGAAACTTCTGATGTGGGGCTAGTCGATGTTTTGATAGAAAAAACCGTGGAATACAGGCTACCATTGAATAATTTTTCATTTTTATTTAAGGACGATTCGAGATATGTTCTACCTTAGGACTTTTCGGGAAGGACGAGGACTAGTCATCTCGGCTGGATTAGTGCGAAACTTCTGATGTGGGGCTAGTCGATATTTCGATAGAAAAAACCGTGGAATATAGGCTACCATTGAATAATTTTTAATTTTTATTTAAGGACGATTCGAGATATGTCCTACCTTAGGACTTTTCGGGGAGGACGAGGACTAGTCATCTCGGCTGGATTAGCGCAAAATTTCTGATGTGATGCTAGTCCATGTTCTTATAGAAAAAACAGTGGAGTATACGCAACCATTGAATAATTTTTCCTTTTTATTTAAGGACGATTCGAGATATGTCTTACCTTAGGACATTTCGGGGAGGACTAGGACTAGTCATCTCAACTGGATTAGTGCGAAACTTCTGACGTGGGGCTAGTCGATATTTTGATAGAAAAAAGCGTGGAATGTAGGCAACCATTGGATAATTTTTCTTTTATATTTAAGGACGATCTTTATGAATTATTTTGAGAATTCTTTTTTTTGTAATATTGATATTGGCTTATAGAATTGGATCGAGGTATATTCTATGTATTCTACCTTAGGACTTTTTATGGGAACGAGAATATATATCTCTGCTCAATCAGCGCGAAACTTTTACTGCGGTATCAGTCACTGTTATAAGAAAAAAAAAAATGAATGGGGAATTAAGACAAACATTTTTTTTTTTCGTTATTTACGAACAGTTTTTATGAATCAGCGCGACATTTTTTATGTGGTGTTAGTTGTTAAAATAGTAAATCTTGGGGAGAGAAGGTAACGAATTAATATTTTTAATTTATTTATTTCAGGATGATCTTTACGCTTATAAATCATTACGAGACCCTTCCTTTCTAAACATTTCACTCGAGATGTATCCTACCATAGAACCTTTCGGAAAGGACGAGGTCGAGTTATCTCTACCTTGCGAGTGCAAAAATGTTAAGACGGCGGAAGAAAGTTATCCGATAACTTTCTTCTCGTTCGGTATTTATTTCGAGTCGGTTTTTCGCGTTTGACTTTTCGTCCTTTTCTTTTTTTTTTTACGTTTCCCTCGAACTTCGAGTCGAAGCTCTTGATTGCAAACGAAGTTTGCATAAGAACTACCGTGCATAGGCGCTCCGTGGTGAATTACGTTTGCAATTAGTTTATCAGCACGGAGATGCAATCGCCAACCCTTCTCGTCCGCGCGAGAGATGCGCTGCTCTAACAGGACGGTAAATGCAGAAGGTGGAGGCGCTTTACAAGAAATTCTCATTCGTAATATGAAATCTCGCGACGGTTATAACTTATGGAAAAACGACCGAGAGACCGTGCTCAAGGGATAAGGTCCCAGGAGGATGATATCGATTTGGCCGTAAAAATATTAGCGTGTTCGATGATCCCCGTTAGCGTTTAAAGTGCAAGAAGGTTAAACGCAGATAAGGATACTGGAAGTACGGGAATACGAGCCAAAGAGAAAAATAATTTATCGCCAATAGGACGTCCTCGAGCCTGACGTTAATACTCCACGAGAGTACATGACGAGTCCTCGTGTGCGACTTCGCAAAGCCGGTCTCCTTAACTGGAACAATCCGCGGTCCAAGTGGTCGTTTATCTTCTTTTTGCGAACTCGTTTCGAACACCGAGACATATTTTTGCCGATTTGCCTGGCCCATTTTTTCTCCCCCCTTTTTTTTTACCTCTTTCAACGATGGCCTTCGCCTCGACTGTGTAGAGTTCTACGGTTCATTACGGCACGTAAAGGGATCGCTTCCTAGGGAAGTCTAGTCATTCTATGAAAGTCTGAGAACACCTTGAGCCGTCACTTTACTTTTTACCGTGGGTGTAACAACCTGCAAGGTTTATTTCGCATCAATCGATATGAATGATCAGGTGCGATCGCTCGTCACGGTGACTATTAGGGCGCGGATTTGTTTCGGGGATTCCGAGGAATCACTTTTTTTCACTCCGAAATTCTTTCGGATATTTACTTTTCATTTATATTCGCCCGGATGTTACGCTCTTGGAGAGACACTGTAAATCGGGATGAGATTTTCCACGAATTTCAGGTTTATCCCCGATTTTCTGGCAAGGTGTCTACGGTCACGCGAGCGAATCTCTCACTATCCACGATTTGTCTCGTGCAACGAGATACGTTAGGCTTTGGGAATAACTATTTTCGGGTTGTTCGACTAAATGTTACCTCTCGGGCAGCTCTCGTGTCCGAGAGATAATACGCCTCGCGTGAGATGTTTATTCGTTCCACTTCTCCCGCGAATCGGTCTAATATAATCCGCTCGAATTCGCGGGTTGTGCGTGACCGGTTATGCGAATGGCCGGAATAAATGAGAGGATATCTTAATTGCATATTCTGCTCGCTGTTCTCGCCATATCGCGTTTCCTTCTTGCGGGGTTCGCGAATCACCCTCTTTTTTTTTTTCTGACTCTGAATGATTTGCAGGAGTGTTGGCTGATATTCAAAATTTCAACATTCAATAGATTCAATTGTCTGACATTTTCTAAGCAGTATCATTAGACGTTTGATATGCGTTGTATAAAGCTCTTGCCACGTGTAAAGATATATTTAAAAAAAATATTTTTCACCTACCATTCGCAGGATTTTTGATTTCTCAGATAACGTTTATTCTTATCCAGGAACGAAACCACTCCCTTTTTTTTTCTGGCTCACTCTGAATGATTTGCAGGAGTGTTGGCTGACGTTCAGCATTTCACTGCCGAAGGTCGACGGACGGAGATTCGACTGGTCTCAATAAATTGCAATTTCTTTTTTTTTGTATCTACTAATGGATTCAACAAGCCGACATTTTTTTTAAGGAATATTATTAGATGTTTGACGTACGTTGGATAATGTTTTTGCCATGGGTTCGTTCGCAAAAATGTATATATATTTTTTTTTATCTTTTTCTTCTACCATTCGCAGGATCTTAGGTTTCTGAGGCAACGTTTATTCTTATCCAGTAACGAGGTCGGAGTTCTTTGATCGTGTACCATTCTTTGCGAGTCTGCTCTGGGACCAACCATTCCCCCACGGGATATCGAATTTCCCGATAACTCTTCAGGGCTCGAATCCTTTCTCTATTTTTCTCTCTTCCAAACAATCGTGTATCGTCTTTCGGGATCGATTGTTCATCAGCTGACGCTTAGGGACGCTGGTCTCAAAATAAGAGGGAATGGTTGTTGGTCGTACCTATTCGTCACTTCGCGGCTTTCTGTTTGAATTTTCGATTTCTCACCAATTTAGCAAAAATTGATATGACCAATCTTAGGACTTCAAAAATGAATTTCAAGACATTAAGGGGATGTGAAAGTAGCATCCGAATTGAGTATATCAAATCTTTTCAAACTTCACAACATGACTATAGAAGCTGTAAGGAAGGTCCCGAAACTCGCGAAATTTCATTTTTTATAACAAATTTTGAAAATATCTATAAAGAAACTTTTTTTAAAATTGAAATTGTTTCACTCCACCTTAAGATTACTGTACAAAATGGAAGATGAATTTTTGTTGTGAATTTCCCTCAATCTTTTACGCAGAGATTTCATTTCCTCGTGGTTAAGAAACTCGGCAGAGTTTCTTGCCAAGAACATTTCGAGTCGCTCGGACCAGGTGCGTGAATTCGGTCATCGCCATAACCGGGTTTTGTCAGGATTTAAACCGGGACTATATTTGGGAGAGTGACTCGAGTTACGTCAGCAGTGGAAAAAAAAAAAATTGTGAAATTGCTGAGGTAAGGAGAAAGAGAGAGGAAGAGGCCCGACAGGGCAGGAAGAGACCGGATAGAGGCCGAGGAAGATCGGGGTACAAAGGGAGGCGACACGGCCGATGCTCGCGAGGGGTTTACGAGGAGAGTGGAGAGAAAACAGGGGAAAAAAAGGGGAAGAAGAAGGAACTCGCGGGAGATTTATCCCTGACGTCGGTTCGCGATTTAATCTGCGTCCAAGGCGCGGGGGCTCGGCCCGAGGCGGAGTCGATAATTCTTCGGGAAGTCGTACCCATCCCGCGGATCGACACTGATGGATCCAATTGGCAGCTGGCCAGTTGCCGGCGGTATCTCTTCTCGCGGCTTCGTGACGGTATTTCGGAAGTTGGGTTTTGAGCTTCGCCGCCAGTCCAACGCCCCGACGGCGACATCGCGACTCGCGTTACTCCATCCCGTTATTTTGCATTTCACTCCTCGAGTCAGCCGACTTGCGGAATCCGGAAAGAAAGAGCTTCATCGACCGATCGATTTGCTAAGAATGCCGCGAAAAATATCGAGATCGGTCACGTTCTTATCAGTCAGTCACCATACGCGATTTTCACCTCGCCGCGGCGGAAGGATTTCTTTTCTTCTGATTTCGTCGGTGTTTGATTGTAATTTTGAAGAATCCACTTTGGTTTCGCTGACTCGTAAATTCGTAAATGGGAGCAGTAATTGAAGCTCGCGTCTTTTAAATTTTTTTTTCCCCTTTAACGTCGCATCAATTGCTCTGGTTATTAACAACGCATCGTTCGGTTAAATAGATTATGTAGGTGAGTCAATCATGGTGATCAGGTTTTACATTTTCTCGAAATATT